TGCCTAATATTTACACTAACGATGCATCACCGTTAAGTGAAAAACTACATGCCATGATCCTCAGAAGGAGAGGAGTATTTCTTGGGCATTTTTAAAGGGTGACACTGAATACTGCAATAGCATAACCCGTAGCAGCAGAATACTGAACAAGGAAGAATCACCAAACTACAGCTGCTGTGTTGGTACTCGTGGCTGAAAAATCTTTATATTGTGAAAACACACAGATCTGGAGGGAGTAACAAGAAAAAAGAAAATGTAGATCAGGAGACCTTTTTTTCTATAGCACACTTATAGAACAGAATCAGGCACACTGAAAATCTCACCTTGTCTTTCAGCTGCTGACAGAGCTGCAATGCTACAGTGAACAGTACAAGAACCTCACTTATCCATGGTACAGAGCATTCAGCTTGGAAGGTGTCAAACTTCAGGTTGCCATGAACAGTACTCAAATGATACACAGCAAGGACAAGCTTATGACTTTGAATATAAAAGCTGATTGCTAGATCCTCAGGTAAATTAGGGACCAGCGATCTCTAAATGAAGAAAACATGAGTAAATTGTGTTAAATACACTTCAATAGAGAGATAAGGTGTATATTAATTGCTACATGGAATTTACCATATTTCTGCTCTTCATGAGATCATCAATGGTACGCTTGCGAGGAACAATCAGGCTTGTGCGACCTCTTTGAAGACATCCTAAAATGTCACCCAACAGATGCAGAACTTCTTCAGATGACCGAAATGAATAGTCTGGGTCAACACTATCAATGTGTTGCAGAGCATGCTGAAGGTGATTCCCAGCGTCTTGCACTTGCTGTAGTTTCCATGGACTGTCATTTTGAATTGAGGTCCTGTAAATTACATTTTGTTGTCTCTGCACCTTCAAGGTTATTTCCTAAAAACAATAAAATAACAGTTTAGCAGGTAGGTTTAGCAAACTTCCGTTTGTCAAGTGAGTTTACCAAGTGAGAAACTTACTGCTTGAGTTATGTTATCTCCCATCACTGACACAATGCATTTCAACTGATCGGGAGGGGTGGTCAAAACAAATTTGTCTTGTTTTTGAGGCCCATCAGTACCAAATAGTGGTACCGGAAATCGTCGTCCACATTCCTGAAAAAGTAGGGGTTCACTCACAATAGTGGTGGTTTTTGTGAGGTAAAACAAGTGAAGACACACCATCTCTGACTATCAGCTGTTGATAGAAAGCTAGGAAGATGTCTCCATTTTCATTTTTGACTCAATACACCCTCTGGCGCGTCATGGTTCCTCTTTTTAGAGAGTGCCACTTTGAGAAAGGCGCTAACAATTAAACCTATGACTGTTTGTACTATCGCAAAAGTCTGGAGACTTGGTATTGATAGAATAGAGGAGCACGCAAGAAACTGCATATCTTGACTGGTTACCAAATTGTGACATGTTGAATCTTGAAGGGCATAAGTCAGGGTGCAAGAGGGTGAAATGTGCCGGAAAGAGAGGCACTGCAATGAGAGGGGGCACTGCACCTTCACCCGTCTCTCTTTTCCACCACTCTAGGTCCACACAATTGAAACTAAAGTGAGGACAGAAAAATTCAAGCATTCTTACCTGCAAAATATTTTGTAGTTGTGCAAGAACTGCATGAACTTCTTTCCGTAAGAGCCATTCAAACTCCACTTGCTGTTAAGAGAAAAGTAAAGGGAGAAAATTAAGAGTTGCATCTGAATAAAACAGTTGCATAGTAAATTTGAAATAATACTATACTAAAAGTCTTAGAAAAAGAAACAATTACAATGAAATAACAAAAAAACAAGAACAAGTTGTGCCAAAAATAAAGTGAGAAATATAAATAAACAATAATAATAATCAAAATCGTCTGCTACAGAACCTTGATAACCACACTTTTTGACAAAAGTTAATGTTACCACAGAAATCAAGACAACATTCTCCTGATTAAAAAAGTCACAAATTAAACCGCAGTGATACGTTACAGTACTAAATCCTTGAAAAGAAACTCACCAAACTGTCAGATTCGTCTTTGTCAATGTCTGCCATTTTGATGGTTTTGATGTTTCGCTTCAATCCCGAGGTTTGGCCTCGGCCTCTGCGTCAGGGTCGCCCCTCTTTCTTCCTCCCGTCTGTCGTGTCGGGCTTTACACCGCCTTCTACCAAGGCTTTGACATGCTACACTTTTGGCTTTCCCTTCATGTTGTATGTTTACCCAGGTAGCAAAACATAGCAAACTGCATTCGAGCCGCATTATATGTCCCGTCTAGAACGCGCATTTAAGTGCATATTAGGCGCCTACAGATTGGACACGAAATGCACATTTTACGCAGCTCTGCTACCTGGGTTTAAAACAGTTCCTGGTCCTAGTTCCCAAGGATGAAAGTGAAGCTGATAATTTTTTTTCTGAGGCCGTTTCAAGCGGCATTGTGTTCTCCCTCCACTTTCGATTGCCTTGAGCTGAGGTATTGGTGGAGTAAATGAAATGAAAGTTTCAAAACAACTTAAGATTAGATTTGATTGCTCTTTATTCAACCAAATAAAATACATATAAAAGGTAAGTCAAAAGTACATCATCACAGTAAAAGAAAACACAGCATACAAACTACACACACAAGCTAGTTAATTTGCATATATTGAGGTAAAGAAAAAAAATGTATAGTGAAGTACACTGAAAAAGTTCAAAACTTATTGTTATAGTAATTCATTTTTGAAAAATACAAAGTGTAGGTCTTCAACATACTGTTTCTAAATGGGCAGGAAGGTTTGTCTAACACGTTCTTGAGGCTCATTTTTGGTACCTATGATTTAATATGGGAGAGAGACCACTATGTGGTCACGCCGCAAGGAAAGTGCAAAAATAAATAGAGGACATGGAAAGGGAACAATTGTCAAACGGGAAGTCTTGGCTTCTCTTGTTGATGCAAGATGTTTTGGTGATGATTTAAGAGCCGAGAGCAATCTTAAGTCAGCAGCAACCACCCTATACCGCACTTGGTTTCGATTGGTAAGCCTCCAGAAAAGTTTAACAGCCCCTGCATATCACGTCCAAAAAGTTGTCTCGTCCAGGGAACCCTGCTATGGATGTCAGAACTACGCACTTACTCTGAGACATAAATGCATTTATTCCCATGGTAATACATTTAGTTGCTGAGGCTTCTCTGTGAAGTTCTACGGGTAATTAATTGTTTACCTCATCTTTGAACTCAACTTTGATTATCTTATGAGGGGGTTGCTCACTCTCTTCTTCAGGTTTTTCAGATTTCTCCAAATTCTTAAAAGGTGCCTGGTTGGTATCAGGTTTAACTTCCATTTTTTCTTCACTTGAGTCCTCTATTTTTACTTCACTAGGATCCATTTCTTCAGATTTTTGCAATAAGTTATTTTTCCTAAATTTGAGTATTTTCTGACAAGGGGATTTCTTCTTCTCCTGTCTGCCTTTTTTTGCTCCCTTGCAGCAAACTGTTTCATAAACCTTCCGCATTCGTTTAACCTGAAACAAAACAATTAAGTTGATGAACACTAGAATTAGGCAGTTTCATAGTCCTTGCAATACCAAAAGACTTGTGAGAATAGGTTGGAGACCAGATTAGACCAAGAAAACATTACTTTTTGGCACTAGAAGCTACAGAATTTACAGGTAGTTTTTATCGCATAATTTGAACTGTAGTAATGTCAACAAACCTCTGATGTTGGGATTGTCCAAGATATAGGGTTCCCATTTTGCTTTGTTGGGTCTAAACTAGAAGAAAAGTCCAATAATGAAATGCCTAATTGATTGCACACTCCCTCCATAACTTCATCCACATAAGTTCTAATTATTAAATCAGCCTTTTTATCCTGTAATCAAGAAAAAGCACAACATGAAATATGAAGTGGGTCTTTCAGAAATGTACTTCCTCCAAAATCAAATATGCTACTGTAATGAAGAGACGTACATAAAAAAAAAAAAAGGGGGCAGGGCACTGGGCAAAGAAACAAGGGTTCATTTGGGTAGTGTAGAGGGAAGGTCTGGTCGAGGGGGCAAGGCCAGCCCGACAACGGGGCCTTCAAATTTGTTGTTTAGAGTTCTCAAAATAATAGCATTAAGCGTGAAAAATAGTTCACAGAGAAAACATATGCAGACGTCTGTATGGTCTGAAAGTAGACCTATAACAACTTTTGACGTCCTCTAGATGAAGCATTTCTGGCTGGGTAATTTTTAAAATAATATTAAGAACAACACTTCCATGTTTGTAAGTGTTGTGTCATCTGGGATTAACATGTTCACTAATGAGGGAGGCCTGGTTGGTATGAAACTCAAAACAATACTATTGAACATGATAAGAAGTTCATTGTTGAAATTGAAACCAGCAATTCCAGTTAAGAATAGTACCTATAAGTTTCATGTCTGTAAGTGTTGTGTGTTCTGAGATGAAATGAAAGTGAGAACATTTTAGGTGTTGCACTGCACTGAGAGAAATACTCATTTTTTCTGCCACCAAATAGTTGTCCCGGTAGGTGAAATTGTAAAGATTGAGAAAACTCTTACATGCTTGGTGGGTTGCAAATTACAAATAACAACCCGGCCACAATCTCCATGCTTTTTAGTATGAAGAGGTAGATTTCCACTCGGCACTATTTGCAATGTAGTTCCAAGACATATGCTAAGGTCTGCAACACTGAAAGATACAGAGCCCAAATAGATGACCAGATGCTTAATATTGCTCAAATGAATTCTTGTTAGTTTATTTTAGTTTTCAAGTAGATCAACTTTACTGACCATGAATGGAAGTCAGACAGAGCAAGATCTTTTTCTGGTAAATTGTGTTCCCAGTCCAAAATAGTATCATGCATTTTCCCTCTGCATGGTCTTCCATTTAAACGCACACTTGGACAATTAGTACCAAGGCACTTTTGCCCAACACTTGTAGTTGCAGCTTGCCTGATGAACTGGCTAAATGATTGAGAATAATTGTAATTAATAGCAGTTAGAAAAAAATGTGATGACAAAGTGCAAATCTTACCTGTCACACTGATTGCACTGTTCTATGAACATGTTGCCATGCAATTCAGCTAGGTTAGACCGCGGTAGACCCGAGCGCAAGTGAAGACCATCAATATTCTGACTGACAACAAAATGGACTTTACCTGCAGATGTTTGGAAAAGATTAGCAACTTAACAAAAACATTCACACTAAGAGCAATCAAACCTGGTCTTACTCTCTCTAAACTTACTTACCTGCTTTAACCAGAGCAACAAGAGCCATATGAGTTTTAGTGGGAACGGCATCATTAAAAGACACATTTATGTTTGGTTTTTCACCCTTGGCTTCCAAGGTCCATACACCTTTAGGACCCCTGAAAAACAAAACGAAACTGTCTTTAGTGCCAGACAGAGCAAACAAGGGGAAAGGATAGCTAAGTATGATACTACACTAGAAACGTACCTAAAGTCGGGTATGCCTGCCGAAGTGCTGATGCCAGCTCCAGTGTGAACCACCACATGTTTTGATTCTGAAATCCATGATGCTAATTTACGGACTTTAGCTATTACATCATCTTTTTTGTCAAATTTCTGTCAAAGAATGTTTTTGAAATGATTCATAATCAGTGCACAGATTAAAAAATACTACATTCGTCTGAAGGTATGCCATGTACTTGACCTGCTTACCTCTTCTAATCCCAATTTGCCTTTGTCATGATAAGGAGAAAGCCCATCGGCATAGTTGCAGGACATTGATCACAAAACAAAGGCTTAAATGTCAGGTTTTAAGTCCTGCGGCCCCAATAATACGAAAATTAAGGAAAAGATAACCTTTAACACAGATACAAGCCCGAGTCTGCTTTCAATGTAACTTTGAGAATATTTTCGTAAAACATAAATACTATACACACACCACAAATTGCAAACCCGGCCAACTACAACTACAAACAAATTCAAATCAAAACACCAACACCAACTTACAAAACAACAAACAAGAACAAGAACATTGAGTGGTGTAAATACAACAGTAACCGTTAATAGCAGGTGAGCAGGGGAAAGAGGAGTGTATATTCGCAGGTGCTTTGCTCCTGCGAAGCGCGCGCCTCCATTCGTAACCACTGAATGCAAAAGTCAAACGTCTTTTAAGGTCTTTTATGGCGAAGTTATGTCAGTTAAGGAAAATTTTGGTGCTTTACTTTCCAGGCTGCATCTATTTTCATGTTGTCACACTGTTAATTTATTTTACAGCTGTTACTGAAGAATTAGTGTGAAGCCCGCACTTGCAGGTTATAAAACATCCCAGAGTGAAAGTGAATATTGATATTGCTTATGCCTCTTTATTACAGATTTTGTATTTTTTCCGTTTCAGAGCATTTCATTATAGAATTTATTTAATCCACGGTCTTCTCTGTTGTTGGTTACAATGGCATTTTCATTAAAGAAAAGCCCAAAGTCTCGGGCAGAATGCCTGTCATACTTTGATAACTGCAATGTAAATATCCTGAAAGATGCATGTCTCATCAGCCAAGAAACCATCAGCACATCTGATTTAGAACAAAAACATCATGATCACAAGATTTTTGACTGTGCGATTACATCAACACCTAATTGTAAGACTGGTGGTGCCAAAACAAAATCTCTTGGGAGTATCAAACACAAAGAACTACTACTTCACAAAAATTTAGAAAATGCTGACAGCACTAACTTATCAGTGTCTAAGGTTCTTTTCATGGTTGACATGAAAAGGAAGGAAGTAAGTGTGTTACTCAAAACTGTTATTTGCCGTATGTCAATCTTAATCGTCTTGTTTTTCATGTTCTCAAATGGCTTACCTCTTCGTATTATAGGATGCTGTGGCAAAATATAAAACGGAATTGTTTGCAAGAGAAGAACAACTACAGAAAGAAAGAGCTGAATGCCAAGCACAGTTCGAGGCACAATCGCTAGCTAAAGCCTCAAAACTTAAGGAAGAACAGATGAAAACTTTAAAGGAAGAAGAAGCTCATGCTGCAGAGCGAAAACAGAGGCAAGAGTTGCAGCAACAAAGACACGCACAGAGAGTTTCAATGCGAGATGAGCAGATCAAAGCGGCGGAACTGCAAAAAAAGGAGGCTGAGGCAGAAAGAAAGAAAAAATTGAATGAAAGATTAAAATGTGCAGAGGAACTTCAGCAACATTTATGTACTTTCTCTGAAGTTTTCAATAAAATTCACCAAGAATTCAAGTAAGGACAGCTAATAGTATTTTGAAAATCTCTGTAAATTTGATTAAAAGATGATTTTTAAATTAATTTTTTTAGGGCATGCCAAGCTTTAGCACCTATTATGACAGAGATCAAGCCCCTAAACTTAAATATGCAATCCTTGATCCAACGCCTGAAATCTGAAGAAGTAAATCAAAAGGATGTTGATACAGCAAGGCACATATGTTCTAGACTAAATGTTATACATGCAAATGTTGTGGAAGAAACTGGTAATCCTATTTAATCATATTATATCTTTTTATTGAAATTGTGCTCTATCATGCAACCTATTCCCTCAATCTATTTTGTATCCTTGACAGCTAAAATTAAGAAACAGTCTGAGGAAAATGAGTCTGTTAAACAGCAGGAAGAAAATCAACTTCAGACGCAATCTACTCAGTTGCCTCAAAGAGAAATAGTCACTTCTGAAGTAATTGAGGAAAGCAGTCCAGCTACTGGTGTGTCTTAAAACAATTAACTCATCTTTTTATGTAATATCATAGTCATAGTAATACATTTTTTTATTTTTTTAAAAATTAGGTTTGTTAGATTGTTCAGATAGAGAGTCACTCCAATGGTATTTAGAGTTAAAAAAATTTAAGCAAAATAATGAGATGGTTTTTGAACCTTTACTTAAAGATGATACATTGAAAAAGTATAGATTTGATTGTCAGGTAAAATATTCACATTACATTTGTTTTCTGGATTAAAATCTTGTGGTTTGTAATATGTATGTGTAACTCCTCTCTTACAGAAAGCTGTGAATATACCTGTCAATGCAATATCCCCTGTGAATGCATCCCACTTGCGTGATAAGCTACAAAAATTAACCCTTCTTCTGTCTGGCCAACCTGTCAGTATAGCTGATGGAGTTAGAGTTTCAGCATCCCAGCACCCAGCTGGAATTCCATTTTGTAAAGACTTGCTTGCTAAAAAATTTGTGGTAAGAATTTTGATCTCTGTTTGAATATGCTGTGGACTTATGTGTCACATTCATTGAAATGCTTTTCTTCTTGTTTGCTATTTTTTTTTTATTTTCAAGAGACAAGGTGCTTCCACTGTATCTAGCAAGCCTGAGGCAGCATTCGCTATTGCTGCTGTCATGGTGGCTCTTTGGCAAGAGTTTCCTGATTGGGGTAAACTACTTCTTGCTCATTTTCATCTGGAATGTCCTTACTTAGTTCCCGTCTTTTGGCCCCAACTGGAAGGACAAACCAACAAAGACTATTATCTGTAAGATATCTTAATTCTCTTGTTGGTGTTGGTGTTTGTATTTGGGCTTGTAAATTTTGTGTGTCTGTCAGATCTTTAGGTTATACATACAATGAAGATGGGGAAGTGGAAAAGCAGGATAAATTTCTCAAACGCATGTCAGGAATCATGCGACTATATGCTGCTTTGCTTATCACACGACCCCCACGGGAAAGGTTGAGTAGGCCTCACCCCCACGACTTAGGACAGGGCTGGAAATGGCTTTCATCACTGTTAAATCTTGGTTTGTATCATCAAAGAGAGGCTCTTTTTTTATTTCACCCTCCTATCTAGCTGTACACTGTATGGATATGTTTCTGCCTTTGATACAGAACCACGTCCAGACATATGCGCATCACTTTTATATGATTTTTTGGAGGTGACTGGTAGTAGCTTGCTGGAGCAGTATGGACGCCAATACCGTAAATTGTTACTAGTCATCTGCAAAGGATATTTTCCTCGTCTTCAAAAGGTACTTTGATTTTTAATCTGGAGTTGCAATTAAATCACTGATCATTGAACAAGTGTTTGTTGTGTATTTGTAGATTGCTGTTAGTTCCAGTGGACCTGTAGTTAGACTGGAAACATTTCTCCAAACAATTTTAAAGCAAGGTAGTAAACCACCTCAGGGTATGTTGCCCTTAAATTTCTGGTGATTTTATTGACTTTTTATAATTGTGTTTTTTTTTTTCCTATGAACTTGATTTTAGATTAATGTTAAAATTGTTTACTATGCCTTTTTTTTTTTTTGTAAATGTGCTAAATATTTTTGTACTTTTTAAATCATGTACGTATGGAAAGGATTGTTATGACTTAAATGTATCCGACATACTCAATGAACTAACTTTGAAGATAATATTATTTATTATGTACAGAATTTGCACTCATGTCAGAAGTGACATGCTTGCTTATTGCATCAATCAACTAATAAACCAATCACCCTCTAAGTGGCAATTCTGCTTCATATCTCTTCTAAAAAGAAAAATCATTCACAAAAATAACACAGATTTTTTATGAATGGTGTTAAATCTATGACCAATAACAATTATTTTATGAAACAACATGAAGTCAACAAACCAAGAGATCACAGCTTAGATGTATTTACAATAATAGTTTCATCAACAATTAATCTACATGCTATTAAACGCTTGAAAGCTAACGCAGTCAATTTAGAATTGATAGGAAATGTGAAAAGCTACTGAATTAATTAAGGCATGTGATAAGAATCACAAAATAAACAGATGTTAAAAAGAAAAATGACAAACAAAAAAAAGCACTGGGGGATATGGCGTTAGCGACTAGGGGAGTATAGGGAGTTGGGGAGTAGGAGAGTGGGAGCTACTCCCCTCAAGTATGAGTGGCAGTTTGCTGTTGCGGATCACATTCGTTTTCGCTCTCAGGCAGCGTTCGAGAATGAAAATAGCAAATTAACAAAGAAGGGCGTCAAACTGTTCTCTATAAATGTCAAAATCCTTAAAAGACTGCCACTCGCACTCGAGGGGAGTAGCTCCCACTCTCCTACTCCCCAACTCCTTTACTCCCTAGTCGCTAACGCAATATCCTACTTCACATCCTAACGTGAACACTTTTCATGAGCATACATATAATTTTTGATACAAGACGAGATCATATGATTTTCAGAAAAATAAAAGTAAGTAAATAGCCATTATGTCACATGAAAGAATGTTAGAGGTAAATGGAATAGTCAGTATAAAAGTCCTCGAGAAATTCTAGGTCCAATACAGAACCACAAAAAACACATGACTTAATAGAAGCCATCAATTTTAGGTGTTGTAAATACAAGATCTGATGAAAATGCTTGTTATATAGAAACAAATTAGAAATTTTAATTAACAACTGGACTGCACAAAGTTAAGCTCTAACACCACATGCATGTACTGTTTAGGCAGTATGCCAAACCAACAACCAGCAAAAAGAACTACATTACCAGATAATATACTGTATATAGATACATATAGGTATACTTGTTAAAGACAGAAAAGTTTCAAGACAACAATAGGGGTAGTATCATTTATCTTTCCTTCACTAACAAATACAACACACCCTTCACAAGAAAATATTGGTGTACATAGCTCCCAATCCACCCATAAATAGATAGATCACTAATGTTTCCAGGAAATAAAAACAAGGGAGAAGCAAAACACACAATTCATTTTGTGCTAAGAATATACTCGTTCTTTATCACCAATTTAATGAAAATTTATGGTAGTGAGTAACTGCTTTCATCTCAGATATAGTAGGAGTTTGTTTTTGTTGTTGAAACACAACAATAACCATTTACAGAGCAGACACAGCACAGTTGGCAGCACCATCAGCTGTGTGTGGACTAGACTTGAAGAATACCAAACAAATTTTGCATCCTTTTTTTTTTTTTAAGTAACACTACGACAACAAAAAATTGAAGGCTTTATGAGAAGACTGTTCACAATAAAGTTTCTAATGTAGTTCTACTTATTCTCCAAATACTATTTCTTTCATGCAGTGTTAAGGACTTAAAATGAAAGCATCAGAATTTTTCAGTTTTACTTACATAATTAAAAAAAAAGTTCTATTATTGACTCAATATTAGGATTTGAGATATAACCAATTACAATATCAGTAGGTGGTGCATATTCTGAGAGAACAGCCACAAGATGGTGTCCGATCCGGTGTAATTTGGTGGTAAAGAACGAGTAAAAATAGAAACTAGCTCAAATTATGACATGACACAAATATACTTACTATGTGTTAAAAATAAAAATAAAGTTGTGACATAAATCACATGTTCAAGCCATTTAAACAAATGAAAATGAAAGAAAGGACAGGTACATAAGACAGTTTCAAACGAAAAAAAAAAATGAATTGAAAGAAAGGTAAGATGACTATCGTAGACATAGATAGTGGCAAAACCTCAACCAGGAATTGACGCTAGTGAGGTACTTACGTAGACTGAATTCATATATAAACAGAACCTGTTTACTAATGTGATAACAGTTATTATTCAATTCACTGTAGAACACGCTTACCAGTATTGCAGTATAATAAATTCACAGTACATTGTTCTGATAGGAACAAAATTATTTTGCAAGAATTAATATATTTGCAGATATTTTTCTGCTAGTCTTAGGTACTGTAGATATGGGTAAGTAAAAGCGGTCAATAACACATTTCTCACAGTTTATCTACCTACAAACAAATTTACACTCTGGATAAGAGTAGATGTAACACTAACAAGAAATGTCCTTGCTTCTTTGCTATGAATCAACAAAATGTTTGTCATACTAGTCTGATTTCCAACAAATAGGGGAATGTATTAAAATACAGGAATATTTTGACTTCCCCCAAGCATGGACTAGTTATCCTATCTGAGAGGCAAGTTACAGTGGCACTATAGCATGACACTAAAGAACATGACAGTGAGCATGATCACATTAAATAACCTATGGAATTTAGTTCTTGGATATTGCAACAGACTTCCAGTATGTGGCCTCGTCCCTATAAACCCCACAACATGGCAGTGGGTATACAAATTTCCATCATCTTCCATAAAGAGTCATCCATTCCCAACCACCCCTTTCTTACTACAATTTCTTTCCACATATGGCTTTCATTCAGATTGAAGTTGGTTAGAAACTTTGTTGCTACACCAACAACTTTTAGTGCCATGTAAATATGAATGAGTTGGATAAAGGAAATTTTACAGTGCAGTAAAGCTTTTAGGAAATGAAAAATGCTGCCAGTAAAGTTAGGCAAAAACCGCCGGAGCACACCTACGCGGAGCGGAGGGTACCTCCGCCTGCCTACTAGGCAACACCTCTGCATGCTGGTCCGAATGTTGCGTATTAGGCAAGCGGAGATACCTGTTACACTGTTACACAAAGGTGTGCTCCAGCGGTTTTTGAAGAAACTTTCTGACATCTCACTCAACCTGATACAGCTATCTAAACAACAAAATATGCTCCGAGAAGCTCTTTATCAATTCTCTTTTACGTGCATGATAAGTTAACACCATATAGGATGAATAAGTAATCATTCTAACACACAGGTATGTATTGTGATGGCATCATCTGAGTTGTTCCTTAAGATTTAAAAAATTCCACTTAATTAAAACCATGACCTTGATGGTACTTTCATATTGGCACCAAATACAGGCATTGATTATCTACCTAGCTACTAAATCACACTGTGCTGACTTGCAAAGAACCACGATTTTCAATTTCAACAGCATTGCTTTTCCTGCCTAAAAGTGGTGTGGCAGAGCTATTAGTTGTTAGATTGTCACCATCAACAGTGTCCCCCGAGTCAACAGTCATAAATGACCCAGAATCACTGGCTGGACCACCATTGTTGTGTAGGTTTTCAATACTATCAGCAGAAGCTTTATCGACAGAATCAATTGAGTCAGCCCCATCATCCATTGTAAGAACTCCATTTTCACTATTACCTTTTTTACGCAAACTGTCAAGTTCAAATGAATCTCCATTCACAGCAGGAAGTTTGGATGAGGTCTTATTTTGATGGGGAGGAGTTACTTTGCGTTCTTGGCTGCCCTCTTTCCTTCCCCTTTTGCCAACTAGCGCTTGCAAGTTTGGTAGCTTAGGCAAACTCATGCCACTTGCAGCTCTCAGTGAACTTCCTCTTGGTGTGAGTCGCTCGGGGACTGATGATCCACCAACAGCATCATCCTCTTTCTCTTCGGAAATTGACATTAAATTTTTAGGGTCCTTCACATCAGCAGATGTTCCATCTGCTGGCTGCTGGATGGGGATGTCATCTGGAACACATTAAGCAGTAGTAAATTGGTTGAACTACACAGGTAATATTTAAAACGTTTTGGAGTGTGCATGACATGAAAACATTTCCGAGCTCGGGTTTAACACATATAGCAGGAAAAAAAGGTTGAACCAAACAATGGACTGCAGTGCAAATATAAGAGCTGAAACAAAAGTAAGTCTGTAAAGCCCTAGCTACAAAAGTGCCATTGACAAGTGGCACAGATTTCAACCGAGCAATTTAAGTGAAAGTTCATCTTTTTAGTGAAGGGTCTGGAGCTAAAGGGGTCCCTAGCTTCTACTGAAACTAGAAAGAGATAACACATTCAGAAGAATTAAAAAAACAGGGGTAGAGTTTTTAAAGAATTGCTTGTGATTGGGGTATTGATAGTTCCTTAAGTCAAGCAGTCAGCGTAGTGAAGGCTTGCTTTACCTCAGAAGTGAGGTACCCCTCCTCTGTTGTAACTGCTCAGAATGACCACAAAGCAGAAAGTGAATACATTACAAGCTATTAGAGGTAAAGTCAAAAGTCTCCCAACAATCTAAACACATGTGAGGTGCCACTACCTTTCAGATGCTTCAAGATTCAACCAGAATGAAACAGTGCTGGCTACTTTGGCTTCGCTACTTTTCAATAGAGCTTATATTACCTTCCAGATCATCTAATTCATCCAAATTAGCTAACTATGTATAACTCTTCAACAGCTTATTTCTCTTGGTAGGAAGAAATACTTAGGCTAGCAGGACGACCACTTGTTAAATGTTCCTTTGACTTTCCAAAGGAACTTACTATTTCTTCTTCAGAGACCTTGAATAAACGGGCACCAGCACTCATACGATTTGATGATTTAGATGGAGAGCGTGAGTCAGGCGATTCTCTCAATACAACCTCATTTAATCGTGGAGACTGGGGGCTGCTTTTTTCAATAGCTACTACACCATTTTCTTTAAGTATAATTTTACTGGGTGAAGATATATCCCCAACACTTCTGCAAGTATTGGGAGAGCTAGTCCCACTGCGATTGCTGCTCCCCCTCCGAGACAATGGCCTTTTTGGAGAATTTCTCTTTTCTTTCTCTTCAATTATTTTCCCATCACTCGGATCTTCCTCTATAGAATTTCTGCTGGAATATCTCCAGGGTCTGCCTTTGCGGTGTCTTGCAGGACGAACAGGTGTATCAGGACAGGCCTCAAGATTCCCTTTGTGATGAAGACTGAATAAAGCCTCCTGCTGGCTTGTAGAAGGATTTGAACCCAGATCCTCCTCAAGGTCATCTTACAGTGAAGAATTAGCCGAAGAGGAAGAACACATGCAGCGTGCGCAATAAGATCACAGATGGATGGTTAATAAAAAAGATAATTAAGTACCTAGTCACAAACCCAACCAGATTAAATCTAAAAATTGTTAATGAAAGTACAGTACTGTATAACTACCATCAAATCAAAAACATCAAATAGTTTCAATAACATGCAAATTAAAAGTCACTAGACTAATAAAAAAACAACAAAAAAAAAAATTTTAAATGAAAATTACACCAAGAATGTGTTATTTTTCAAAGCTTGAAAAGTTAATTCTTAAGTTAATAGAACCAAAGAAACCCAGAGAGACATTAGATGGAATTCAGCATGCACAAGTATGTAAACTAAGATTTAATAAAAACAAATACTGAAAAATCTGAACTACAGATTTGCATGACTTTCCAAGATCTACTGATGGGACTTTATACCTACTAATCAGAACAAAAAAGATCAGGAATATTTTAAAAAGAAAGTGTATGTTTCTATTGTCTACTTTGTTATTGCATGTTATTTTAAGAACAAAATGTCATAGTAAATAAAGGCATAACCACACAAAAGAAAAATGTTAAGCATAAATATTTTGTTTGAAGTATGTAAACTAAGATTTAATAAAAACAAATACTGAAAAATCTGAACTACAGATTTGCATGACTTTCCAAGATCTACTGATGGGACTTTATACCTACTAATCAGAACAAAAAAGATCAGGAATATTTTAAAAAGAAAGTGTATGTTTCTATTGTCTACTTTGTTATTGCATGTTATTTTAAGAACAAAATGTCATAGTAAATAAAGGCATAACCACACAAAAGAAAAATGTTAAGCATAAATATTTTGTTTGTTGCAAAGATGTTTTGTTATAGTCAAACTTAAATTGGCAGTTTGAATTAAAGACCAGCACCATGACATACCTGGTAACTTCTTCGTTCTGAATGACGCGTTTGTGATCATAGATTTGGAGACAGTGACAGTGTTTGTAGCTGGAGATACAGCCATGCTGATACCCATTGGTCCATCCAATGCTTGACCTGTTGTTCAAAGAAAATACAAGGGTAATAAAAACACTGTAAGTGCATAATTCAATGAGTTTTTATAGTGCATACTGCACTTAAAGAATAAAGTCATTTAAAGATGTAACTCTTGTATTAATACTTGTTGAATCATGTGATAATTGAACAGAGTTGAAGAAACCAAATAATTTTATAAAGATGAAATAGGTACTTCTTTTACTTCAAACGTTTCAGTTGTTACCTAGAATTTTAATATTTTTCTATCTTGGATTCTAGTGACGAAACAATGCGTACAAAACTTGCTGTAGCATCATCAATAGATTGCACAACACGTCTCCTCACAAACTTCATCTCTTCACAAGTTGTTAACACTTCATCCAAAGATTGACGAAAAACATTGACATGGCACCTATTATTCACAGCTACAGGATCTTTGGAATTTAGTGAAAAATCTTCACTGGCAGCTTCAGCTCCCACCATCTCTGGTCAGAACAGAGCTTTGAGGAAAAGATTTCTAGCATATCTATCCCACGCTATTACAACATTTAGGAAATGTCCGTCTTAAAATATCTAGTAAGAACCTTACAGAACAATATAAATTTCTTACCTGAGGGAGTATCCTTGATAGAGTTTCGAATAGCTCCAGCAACTAGCATTATGTCAGGGAGACACTCGTAACAACCTCTGAAGTGAACATCTTCTAGAGCCTGCACTGCCATGCTGCTTAACTCATTAAACCTAGAAGATTAAGTATATGCAATTTATCAGCAATTTTAAAGGAATTGTGGCAAGTAGCAAATGCCAAAAATCCCAAAATGATTGCACATGCTTACATTGCAAAGTAAATAGCATGAAGCAGCTCCAATAAAAATTGGGAAGAAACTGGTATGCGAGGTGGTGGACGCTGAGGTGATAGAGATGCGGAACTGTTGCTATGAGGATGGCTACTCACCCGAGTAAATCCTTGTGCTGCAATTCTAAAACACAAATGTTACAGAAAAACAGAAAAGAATCCATCTTACGAAAAAACTGGAAGAGTAACAATAGTTTTTAAAAAATCTTACTTTGAACACACTCTACAAAGTTTTTCCAAAGCTGATTTGTGGAACCTGCTCAGATGGCGATTATAGACAAAGAGAAGAGTAGTCATAGTTTTAAGTCTGTTCTGAGCATTTAGGGACTCTACTTGAGGCAAAGGACCCCAAGATATCAGTCTAGTATTACATTCTTCCAGACGGCGCAATTCTTTTTGAGTAAGGGATGCAGGGTCCAAATGCATAGTCTGGGAGAACACAAAAACTTAAATCTCAAGAAGTCATATAAACAATAAACAAAGGACATATAACCAGTTTTTTTCTACAGACCTCATGATAAATAGAAGATTGTGCTAGAGATGGTAAACGGAATGACACAACTTTGGGCTGACCAGATTCATCAACAACTTCTAGATTGTAAATTCCAAGGAGCAGAGTTTCCACACTCCAATCATTCTAGAAACAGATTAAAACATTCAAGTATAAGAAATGATATGGAAAACATAACTTATCAATTTGTTAATTTTTCATACAAATTTTACCTTTTTTTCTCTGCATGACACAGAGTTCAGGTATACATATACGAGTGTTGGTATGAATTGAATGGTAAATTTTTGAAGTTCTGGTTCCTTTGATCGATAGAACGCGAATAGTTGGTTGCACACTGGATCCACAAGCTATAAAATAGAACTGCAATAATTGTCCAAAATGATGATGAGAATGATACTCTCCACAACCTCCTTACCTTTTGATAATGATCGCGACCCTCAAGAACAGTATAGATGGCGGCCACCAGTTCTTGATTATGTTCTAGGGAGGCTACAAAAGTATGAGCTTCCACCGGACTGAGGCCTGCATAATCAGAGAGCCATTCACGAACCAGCTGTTCCGTCATTTTGACTATTCCATTCTGAAATTTAGAATAAGAAAACAGATAGAGAAATATAGTAGCGCAGACTACAAGAGGGAAATACTTAAGCAGCTTCGGATGAGTTACTTGACAATCATCAATAGTTAGGAAGCTGACAACATAAAATATGCAAGATACTAAAGGTGTCAACAATGATGGAATGAGTTTTGATACTTTAAAGTACTGGGAAGGACTAGAAATCTTCTCATTAAGACAGGTTATGCAAACACCTGTAACAATCTTGAAATGAAAGTTATATTCCATACTTTGAAATATTGATGATTGAATTTTGTCAAGCAAGAACCTAAAACCATTTCTGAGTATAAAGAAGGAAACCATGGATGCACTACAATGGACAATATTTTACATGCTCTGTTTTCGCCAACTTGTGTGAAAACGGGCCATCTCGATTTTTCAATTGAACAAGTTTCTGCTTGTTTCTCGCATATGAGGAAAGACAGAATTTGACATCTTGATTAGTTCTCGCGACAAAGGTTGGGTGTAATAATAGGCGACAGAGCACAGTTCTCACCCTTAGATTCGAAGTATTACTGGATGAATTTAACGCATTTAACGATTCATTCATCCGCTTGAGCGACAGCAACCGACCGACCGACCCAACTTCTCAGCAGACGAAAACTGCGAAAACTGCAGGCAGCGATAACAACATAGAACATAAACTTCAACACTTTATCAATTGCTCGTAAGGATGAAATATAAAATCCTTTCCATAGCTTACGTTCCTTAAGAATGCCAAGCAGGACATCAAATCGATCCTTGAAGTTTTCTGAAAACAGTTTTTATACCATTAGAAAAGTTTATCTGGCAACCCTGAGCCAGAGTGACGTCACGTCTCTCCTCCCTCCCCTCTCCCCTTTCCCCACTCCCTCCGCCTCAACTCAGAGAACATAGGAGGGCAGGGCGAGGGTTGTGTAGTTGTGGACTCGTACTCCTTTTTTTAATTTTTAATTTTTTAAGAAGTGTGTATTTTTAAAGTTTTAAAACAACATGGAAATGGAAACAGATAAGCTTGCTGAAGATGGAAGATCAATTGCAGAGGTGAGCTGGGTCTCTTGGTACCCGAGAAAGTGTCAGAAACTTTACTCACAGTGACGATGCTTCATCGCATCCGCCATCTTGAATGTAGGTTAGGCTCTTTGAAGTCATTTAAGCACCTGTGATATTTCCTGGAACCTTAGTTTTCGAAACTATGGACAGAAACATGGTGAAGTTTGACTATTGTTCCAGCTAACGTTCAAATGTGAAAACGAGGTGAAATAGATGACCTCTGCTACAGATATCGCTGTGTCCCAGTTATCATCTGTTTTCCTGCTTTTGTGATTTTCCTATTTTGAGTTATAATTGAGAATTTGGCTCATTGCGTTCAATACGCGGTATCAGTCTATTTGTATTCCCACAAATTTCTTGTAATTTATTGCTAATTGCAGTGTGTGTACACATTCAAAGTTATGACTTTTGCATTGTTTTCCTCTCTGAAGAAGTGTCACCATAACACCCACACCTTGAGAGAAAAGCATATGCCCAACCCAAACCTTTTTGGATGTATTTGAACTCAGGATGCATAAGTAGATCAAGCCAAAATGCAAAGGTTAAGCTCAAGTTTCAATTGCTAGTTTCAGCCTTTTTTTGATAGTTTGTTTAAACCTAATATTTAAAATTAACATTGTCTTTTGTAAATCCGAAATTTCCCGTGAAATTTTTAATTTATACATCCACCATCCAAGTTGAGTTTCTAGTCCAGTTATACCCTATTTTGTTACGGTGTTCGGTTCTTTTTAACCATCACCCACCGCAATATTTAACACTTCCTTTGTAAGAGCATTCATATTGTGGACCCATCTCGAAGTGTCATAATCATAATCGTGCCATGATTCTACCTCAACTTTTTCATTGGCCCCTGAGGAAAATTAAGACCCCTTCTATTTAGAGAGGTGCACAAAAGGTCTTGCCTTGGAAAGTGTTAAATTTCGTGTGGAATGAGCGTCTTCATTTTCTAGGATGAGAAACAGTTTTTTGGTATCACTAGGTGTGACCGCTACAACAACGGACACCGACATATATATATGCCCTTCTACATTGTAGGATCTTGTGGCAAAGGGAGTTACAGTTTGTACTTTGTATAAAAACATTAGTTCACACCTTGAATAATGAGTAACATTGTACTTTACCTGTTGATTATTGTTTTCTGTGGTCTACCAGTTCTTTCCTATTATTGTTTTTTGTGGTCTACCAGTTATTTCCTATTCAGTTGTCTACATTGCAAGTGAGACCCCACAAACAATGTGACCTGCAGGTCCTTAGGCTTCATTAAGAAGCCTTTGCATATATTGTAATTTTGATATACTTCAAAAGAGCTCAGCAAAAATTAATTATAATATATTAATGGTTTCTATGGAATGGAACACAACTTTGGCAGAATTAAATAATTTTTCACTTCATTCAAAGCTGAAAATTGTAAATTCTCTATTTTGTATTCTGAAACTATATGAAGCAAAAGTCCTTGTTATGTACCACTAGTAATGTAACTAACCATGTCTCTCATGGGCTTTCCCATTATTACTTCTTCTGGTGTATCCAGTGTAGCTTGTAGACGCTTATGAGTCTTGTGAGTGGCAGGCCTCAAAGCTGCGCGAAGTAATAGATTCAATGGTGTAAGAGTTCCAGTTGGCGCTTTTGGTGGTGTTGTTCTTTTTAAAAGGTCGGGACAGCGACTCTGTTGCCTATTGTTCCAGTAGGTGTGGTGTGCAACGGGCTGTGCAGGGCGATCCGGGGAAAGTTACTAAAGGAGAGTGGATTTTCGGGTCCTACCGAGTAGTTTAGTCTAGTCCGTCCCAGCCCCCCCCC